TAATTTTTGGTATAGTAGTTGTGACTTATTCACACTATATACATTTGGCTTCCGCAACAAGTGCTACTAGTGTTTGAGAAGTTGTTTTATTCCCACTGGTATATTTCATGAAAGAGATGGATAATATATCAGCAGAGGTATTATTCCTCCACTTTCCTGTGAATGAATAATAATGTGGCTACTAATTTTAATATCCTCTTTAATATTATGTTTCAGGAGAGTGTGGATAATCTTATCAAATGTGTCAGTCAAGATCTAGGGTTCAGTGAAGGGAAACCAGTGGCGGCATTTACCATATACAAATGCCTACTTCATTGGAATTCCTTCGAAGCAGAAAAAACTAATGTATTTGATCGTCTTATTCAGATGATTGGTTCTGCGATAGAGGTAATTTTCAATATCTTGTAGAAATTAGAGGTTGTGTTTGTAGGTGTTCATGAGTCATGACATCAGTGTAATACATACTAGCCTGTATTGGTCCGGAATTGGACTTTTGTACTGCTATGTCAAAAATGCATCATTTCAAAAATGGGAAGGAATTTCATTATTACCCGTTACATCTGAGAGGTGCTAACCGCTTCTCATCTTCCACCCTCCTAAAGAAATCCTGAAGACAATGAAAGAAAGCAGCTGATGACTGAAATCAGAAGGATTTGTCAAGTTAGCTCATCATCTTAACTTCCAGCTTAAGCAGAATAGGTGTTACACTATACATGCTATAATCTACAAAACATAAGCTTAAACAGTTCCCGGTGAAGTCATAATCTATGTGACTGTAGTTTCAGTTTTTATCCTCTAAAATCACGGCTTAAAAATGCTCTCTCTAACTGATGATATACGCTTATTTACACACATGCTCGTCTTATATCAATTTGCAGGACGAGACAAACAATAATCACATGGCTTATTGGCTGTCCAATGGTGCAACATTGTTGTTTTTGCTTCAGCATACGCTGAAAACTACTAGTTCAGCTCCAAGTAAACCGCCCCAACCAACATCGTTTTTTGGTAGAATGGCGCAGGTATTTAAATTCTTACATCGTCTTTATTATTGAATGTGCTCCTAAAACTATTGAATTAAAGTTTCTATGGTGTTCCCTTTCATTATATCTAAACCAAAACTGGGTGGCATAATATTATGCAAAGAAACCATTATAGTAGTTGGCTATACCTTTTGCACTAGTACTTTGTGTATTTGAAAGCACATCCATAGAAAGCTTCTACAGTTATTCTTTGATTTCCCTGTTATGTTACTTACAAAATTGGACATGTATCTGATACTACTGTTGATGTTGAATTTTTTTTTTTTTTTT